GTTTATAAGTTATTAACAAAGAGTCAGGAATCAACTAAAGAATTTATATAGGATGATTACTATCGGATGTATTTTGATCCTATCATCTTCAGTCATTCGGTTTCAATAATGCCTAAGTTTTTATCGTATATGCCGGAATGGGCTTCTTTTTAAGCAATATTTTAAAAAAAATTAAATGAAATTCTAAAATTCTTTTTTTTTCGGATTTTTCTGTCAGGTCTAATCTAACATTTCCAAAGCCCAAATTATTGTTTTTACAACTGACAATTGTACATCGATTAGTATAGAATACAGAATTTTATCTCACTCTGAACTTCAAAGTAAAGATATATAGACACTGTTGCTAATGTCGATTTTTAGAATTTTATCTTTTTATTCGATTTTCGAACTAATATTGATATCAAACGTTAGAAGATATCGATTACATTTACACATTCAATATTACATTAGAGTTCTTTTTTAATAACAGTCTTCAGTTAGATTGCTAAGCTCACAGCTTGCACAACATGCGAAACATAAAGTCTATAGTTTTTCTTACATAATTACGGGATGGATATAATTTACCACTGACATGTGAGTAAAATACTTGAAATCAACAAAAAAATGGCAAGTTTTCGCAAAACACATCACTCGATTCAGTTTTCGATGCTGATCATGAACATGAGCCTGGTTTTACTTCAAAGTGCTTTCTTCATAAAGAAAACACACAAAAAGAAAGTTATATCATACTTTGCTTTTCTTTCTTTTTGGAAAAGAACAGTTGGAAAGTAAAAACTTTCCTTTTCCAAAAGAAAGGAAAGTAAGTTTTTACTTTTCTTTTTTTGGGAAAGAAACGAGAAAGTGCCACCCCTACTCAGAATATTAACCGTATAAAGCGACAAAACCGAGACTTTAACAGCTCGTTCAAATGAATCATTCAGTATTTAATGTAAACTTACCCACCTAATGGTTTAAAATCGACCTAACATTGTGTTTACAAGAAAGATAATATTCTTTTTCATTATTTTGTGACTATATCAAATTTTAAATTGTATTTGAAAAATAAAGTTTATTCCAAAAGCTAAACTTTAGTTGTTTTCTTTCGCCAAGAGGTAACTCAATAGTGGTATATGATATTAGTGTATATTCATTAATGTTACATTTGTTTGTTGCCATTATGATTTTAATTCTTGTTGTTCATTCACTGAGATTCTTCATCCTGTCCTAAATAAAAATCGAAGCAAAATCAAAACTCAATGGTATAACTTATTGTTGAAAACTTACCATAAAAATGTGCTTGACCTCGAGCAGTCTTTCGTTTATTGTGCCAGGTCTAGAAAATATTGTTGAATAACACAAAACAGACAGCTTCGACAAGAAGGACTTTAGTATCACATCCAACATTATTGCATTACACGGACGGTATAGAACTCTCAGCATCGTTGATAAACTTATTCTTTCTCGCTTCACTTTCAACTTCACTTTCAACATTACATGTGTTTCTGACATTATTTGGAGCGAGAATTCTGTTCTCGTATTTAACGGGGAAAATTTTATTATATATCAAAATAAATTAATTGAATCTTTCCGTTAAAAGTGTTTTCAATCATCGAATCTAAAAATCTTATTTCTATTGTAAATCTGACATATTATCAATTTGTTGCTACTATAAACTTCTCGATACACTAGTTATTGTTAATTGTATATGCACAATAGTCCTGTCGTATGTCCATTAAAAGAAATTTCAACTTTCTTGGATAATACTTTCAGATAGACAAATATTTTCTAACTTATTTATGTCATCCAGTACACATTATTTGATTAATATTGAGATAGTTTTGTGATCTAGTCAAATTTTAGATACAAATAAATATTTTAACTAATTATGTACCGTAAACACCAATTGTTATTTTTTTTATTGTTGAAAATAGATTTTCATATACAAATAGTTATCCAATTCGAAGAGTTTGAATGCATATCTCAACTACATTCTACCTGACATTATGAACCGTACAAAATTTTGATATTAGATCCGTAATAGATCTCGGAAAATAACTATGAGAAAAACATAATTAAATACTAGTTCTAATGTTTAATGAATGATTTGTTTGTTTTTTACTAGAAAAAAATCCGGCAAATTGCCTAGCAATGGGTATAAGAAAAAAAAAAGAAACTTTTAACACATCATGTATGTTACCATTTCACAGAAAAAAAACAAAGAAGAGAGAAGAACAAAAATATTGATCACACAATACACTAAAAATGTATTCAATGTTGAAAAATAAAACAAAAAACAATTTTAACAAGTGTTATCATTGACGTAAAATTAATCCTAAATTAGCACTAAAAATTATTTATCGTCGTCGTTCTTGTTTTTGTGCACGTTGTTGTGCTTTCTTTTTTCGTTCATCATCACGTTGTTTTTGTGTTGTTAAATCTAATTTATTTTTTTCTTGTTGTTTCTTATGAACCTAGCAAAAATAAATAAATGATAGAATAAAAATTATTTAATCCTTTGAGTACCATTGCTCTCGATCATAATAGCTAGGGACTTCTAATTTTATGTGGTTGGTCATAGCTCTTACCGAATGCTGGTCAACCACCAAGTTTGGGCCTCTCTTACTAGATGATTCGTGAGATGTAAGCGTTTTATTTCTTTTCCGTAAAATGCTAATAACTCTTGATCAAAGAGAGGTGAAAGCGTTTCCTTTTTACCAAAATGCAGTACTGCCTCTCTATCTATGCTATGAATTTAACGTGTTAGCTCCCAATAGTTACTAAAGTACAACTATTTTACAGTCGAGGGTCACTTTTGAAGTTTGAGATCCTCTTCCAAAAAAATTCATAACTCCGCCTAGAAATATTATTTTCACTTCAAAATTGCACCAGATACTGTAAAATGCCTTTAGATTATTCACACAAAGTATGAGAGTTAACTATTGTATGATTAGAGATATTCATTGAAAATGAGCACCCGCTATTGAAAAATACAAGGATGAGAAACCAAGGAACGTCCATTCTACCATATCTTTTGTGGTTAATGTTCATCATA